ATGTGTTTTTTTGATACTATTATAACTAATTGTAATAGAGCCAATGATTCACCCACAGGCTTTGCAGAGACATTGAAGTTTATCTGCAGAAGCATCATTTAAACCGTAGTCTGCATAAATCAGTGCCCCCACCTCTCATCACCTCAAGTAGAGTCTTAAGTGCAGCCAGCAATACTGACGCCCCAACGCAGTTTATTTCAAGCCGCGTTTCTTTATTACTAAAAGCTCCTTCAAAGTAAAAGCCTCAGATACTCAGTGAGGGGACCACACATACTGTACGTCTGACAGGCGACTCCTCTTTCAGCTCTAATGGAGGTCGTTTGTGTTCGTCAGCAGCATTTTAAAGAGTTTTCTTTGGGCATGAGCTGCAGTGTAGAAGCAGTGTAACACACACACACACACACACACACACACACACACACACACACACACACACACACACACACACACACACACACACACACACACACACACACACACACACACACACACAGTTTTTCATCTCTGAGTGTTAATGGCACCGACTCAATGGCTCCCTGTTCTTGGCACTTTGAACGCTGTGTTAATGAATCACATGTGGGCGACTGGATGTGTGTGTGTGTGTGTGTGTGTGTGTGTGTGTGTGTGTAAGATAGAGTAGAGCAGGGGTGGTCCTGCCTGATGTGTGTGCATGTGGAAGTCTGTGTGTTTTGTGATAGGGTGGGCTGTGAAGGGGGTGGTCTCTTTCTGATCTTTTGGAGGTAACTTTTGCAGGGCGTCCTATATGTTCATAGGAGCCCTGCATGGTGCGTGATGCCACACACTGATGCCCTCCCATAGAGTTTCAGTCAGAGGCTGGCATCACATCACACAGCTGCACAGTCTGACTCAGATAGCCTGCAGGAATCAAACCTGGGATTTAAGTGCCTTTTCTTTCCTTTTCACTTTATGCATCAATTTGAAATCTCAGCTTAACCAGCATGTAGGGAAGAATTTCTTTTTCAGATTTCATGTAAACGACAGCCGAGGTTTCTTTTTTTTACCCTGCAGGTCATGATCCCTAAGGTGACACATGGCCTTATCAAAAATGACTGTCAGTCTTTGCAGCTTTTTTTTTGTACTGTTTAAAGGTTATTAGTGAAGAAGCTCACTAAAAAGAACCAAAACTTTACATTTGAAAGACAAAAACTTGAAGCAAGCCAACCTCTGTCCAAAAGTCATACACTTCATGTCCTTCATACATATATGACTCTAAAAGCAAATTCCAGGATCCATTTTACTTAAATTATTTTTCATTTGTCTTGATAACAGGTTAAGTCAGAGATGCTCTTTAAATGATTATATCCTATGTTAAACTATTTATCAGGAATTTATAATTAAAAAGGATAAAATGAGATTAGCCAATTAACCAATACCTTTTAGACACCAACAACCATGCTAACAGATTAGTTTACATGTCATAATGACACTCAAGCTCAGGCTCCCAATTCTAACAGGTTCTGGGATTTGTCAAAGATCATTTTAGCAGGGCAGAGTAATGATCTATCCAGTTTCTCCAGACTCACGGTCATACCAGCTGCTCACAGTTAAGGTTTCAGCAGAACTCTACGTTTTGATATACTTAATATTCCTTGCGAGGAAATTCATTTTTTTTCCACTCTTGAAATGATGAGATGAGATGTCAGAGTGAAGGCGTTTCACAGTGAAGGGCGCCCTAAGCAGTTGGGTGGTATAGGGGCTTTGCTTAAAGGCACCTCTGCAGTGCTCAGGAAGTGAACTGGTACCCTGTAAGATTGGTCTGTTCTGGGATTTGATCTAGTCATCCTCCAGTTTCAAGCAGAGTCCCTACAGACTGAGTGAATGCCCCACAAAATATGATACCTGTCTGGGAATAGAAGCGGCGGTGGTGAGAGCGCTGCACTGACCATAGACCACAAGAGACCGTTTACATCCTTAAATATGAAAAATCTTGGTTATTAAACAACATAGTTTTGCTAACGTCCACTGTTTGGAATTCTAAGGGGTTGTATTTTCCCTGCAGCCCTGTCATGCAATGTCTGTTTGCATTTCTCCTGCTATCACCTTTTGCATGTTGTATTAATCAGCAGCTTCTGTAACGTGTTTGCATATTACACAATTTATAAACCATGCAAATCTGGTTTGCTTACAAGCAACAGGAGGTGAATTTGTTTTATATAGCTGGTTGCAGTAAATTCTCTGCCATAAAAGATTTGTTTTACTGTTTCCCAGTCAGCCATTAGAGTCATTGAGGACATGATTGTCAGTAAAGTGGTAACTTTAAGAGAAACATTGAAAATATATCTTTAAAGTACCTGTAGACTTTGACAGCAGATTCTACGTTGTTGTTTTTTTTTTACAAAGAAAGGAATTTTCAGATGTATTTTTGTAAAGGACCAAAATATAATAAATATAATATAATATAGGATATCTTCAATTATCTTCAACTAAACCTGCAATGCCATACAGATGGAGTCATTTGAGTGTTTTCTAACATTAAACATGTTTGCAGGGGAACAAACTTGGCGCTCAGCCTTCATGACTTCTGTCTAAAGACCTCCTCAGATCTATAGGAATAAATGCCATCACTCGTCATGTATGGATAAAGGGATTTTGCACTCTTCACCTGTGCTGCCTCGCCTTTCTGACTAACCTGAGAATGTTTCTTCAGTAAGATAGTTCACTTTGCATTGTGCTGTGCGCTCCCCTTTTATGTCTCACTTCATGTTATCTTTACCATCAGCCCTTTGAAATGTCTCTGGCTGTTTCCTGTGGAGTGATTACTTGTCTTTAGCTTGAAACGAAACTCTTTAATCAGGCACTGGAGTCTGAAAACGGAGATTTTCCTTCCTTTCCCACTTCTGTTTTTTTTTTTTCTCTCTTTGTGTCTGAAACAAATTAGTACAGTCCGATTTAGCAGCAGCATCAGAGACTTTCTGGAGGGACTTCTTCCTGCAGGGTCAATGAGGTGCAGACAGGGTTTTACAAAACAAGACAAATATGTTGAGCTCTGCTAAAAAAGTTAGTGCATGTTACTCTTATATGTTGTATATATTAACAAAACAGCCATTATCAGCCATGCAGTGACATTGTGCTCAGGGTGGGAAGCTCAAATGTTATTTTAAAGTTTTGCTGCATTTTATAATGTTTTATCATTTTTAGTGTTTTCTACAATCACTTCTTGATTGATGAGCATTCAAAAAAAGACAATTTACAGTGAAAAACCCAGAGTGAAATCTGGTTATAGTTCAAGTTAAAACAACACATTTGATGACATTAAGCTAGTGTTAGCCAACAGCTTACGTTAGCATTTAAGCGCTTCTTAGCTTGCATGATGTGAGTTGTGAAGTAAATTTTCTCCGCTCCAACATAATGTTAGCTAGGATTTATTTGTAACTCTTGTAACATGTTATATAACCAAATGTCCATTTTTGCAACAATCCAGGTCCTAGCTAACAGTGATATTGTCTATTATTTAAACACTTCCTAGCTTACATTAGGTTAGCTGTAAAGACACTCACACACTTACATAATGCTAGCTAAGAATCCACCTTGGAGGACTACCAAATGTATATATTAGCATTCAGACACTTTCTTGCTAACACTTGTATAATCCATTAACTGGCTGAATGGTAACGTTAGCTGATTAGCTCAGATTTTTAACGTTCGTTGTCTTTCCAGTAGGTGACCATCAAGAAGCTGTGAAATGATCATGATTTGACAGATTGACAAATACTTATTTTTATATGAAACCTGGAACGCAGCAGTTTGACATTAAAACAACATCTAAGCTTCACATTCTGAACATGACTTCAGCTGCTATGTGAGTTGGTCTATTTCCCTTTCCTGTATTTTCTTTTTTTGAAACAACTGTGACATGAGTGACTTCCCAGCACTGTACACTCATGACGTAAATTTGGAGTGTATTCACACCAAAATGTTGAAGTTAAATGACATAATGCAAATAACAAAATGCAAACAATGTAAGCTATATAAATATGTAACCTGAGGAAGCTTTTCTCATGAATTTCACAATAAAACTTCTGAGAAACTGACTGTGGAGCTTCCTATTGCTTACTGAGAAATTGGCAGAAAAGGGAAATACTTTTGTGTGAGAAAAACAGGCAATAAAAGGAAGTATGAGTTTAGGGGGGCGGGGACAGTTGAGCTGGAGCTGTGCAAGGACTGTATGTAGGACGTGTCCAGGCTTGTTTCTACGCAGGCTGAAAATGATTAACAGGAAGAATGATCACAAATTACTCACGCACATCAGCCCCTCAGTCACATGTCACACAGATTTCACAGAGAAATCTTTACATTTCTGCAGCTTTTTGTTTAAATATAGCTATCCTGCAGTGTCAGATATTCAGCCATTGTTGTAGTTAAGCACTAATCAGCCGAGCTCACCATGTCCACACTGAAACTATGTGCTTTTATTGTGTCATGTCTGGCAGCGGGGGCTCTGCACCGCCTGAAGGTTTGCAAAATTTTACAACCAAAGGAAAAAAAGATGAAACTCAAAGTATTCCGGAGTTTTTCACTATACCTTGCACTAAACACTAATAAAAAAAGCTTTGTTTGTGTAAGGGTGTGCCTCGGCTCTGTGTTTACTTATGATAAAAAGAATAGGTGATGATGTCATGTTTGGGAACAACTCTCGAGAGGAACAGGAAGTATGGAAGTGGAGTCATTCATCCTTAGAAAACAACACCTGTATGTTTACACTCACCTGCAGTACCTTTAAACATTAACAGACTGACATTTACTGCAACACTCACTTATTCGCTTTGCTGACTTATGATAAAAAAGTTGTTTTTATCCCAATTGTCATACACATTATCTTGTAGGGAAAACATATTTGCATCATACTTAATTGTGTACTTAATTTGTGTTTTAAGCCTCATTACTGTATATCTTTGCTCAACATGCAAAACCAGCTGCACACCAAACCTTCCATTCTCCTCAGTGTTTTTTAAGCATTTTTTTGTTGTTGTTTATTGCAGTGTTTCATTGCCCAGGATGTCCTCGAAGGCTCATAGCTCCAATAACATCGCCCATGCCCAGCGAACGGTGCAGCAGCTGAGAATAGAGGCAAGCATCGAGAGGATAAAGGTACAGTTCAAAAACTTCACATATACTCCTTTTCTAAACTAAATCCAACCTTTATTATTTGTGTTTGAATTTATTATTTGACCAAGACAAAAGTTACTGAAACTCCAGAGAAAGATGGAACCACATTTCAGGTTGAGAAACACGTTTGATAACTCATTACCATCAGAAAACGGCTAACTTTAGCATTCAGCGACGCCCTAGTTCACATTTACCCAGCTCAAAATGTTTTAACTAAATATAGATTTAAAAATGTTTTACCTATATGGTGTAAAATATCACTGCAAAATCTTTGTTTGAAGAGCACTACATGAGGTATGCTTGCTTCATCCAACTATTAAGGCAACTTTTCCCGCGATAAAAAGAATGGCCTGTGGAGGTTAAAAACATATTCCTCCAATATTTAATATTTTTGTGGCTCTGCTTTTGCTTTCTTTTCTATTCTTTCACAATAATTTCAGATGTATTGTTGCTATGTTTCAAACATAAATCCGGTTTCTTGTTTTTTTTTCTTTTCTTTTCTTAAATCGTTGACTTAATTTGAACAACGTTACGCACAAAAATAAATTCAACAATTGCAAACAATGAATATAAAGAGTGGCTTATCAAAGTTACAAACTTACATTTTCCATCTTAATTGTTTAAGTTAGAATATTTTAGGACTTGTGTGACTGATATTATTTTAAATTCCTTTCCAACCAGTTCAATAAGTGCCAAGAGGTCTCCAAAACATGTCGGTGAAAATGCACTCTGATCCTGTATTTGATCATGCCTCTTCAAAGCCCTGTATTAAAGACCCTGCTCAGAACAGGCTGTTTCTGTGTCTGTAGCTTTAAATGCAAATGAACTGTGTCTGACCACGCCCATGACCACGGAACGGAATGTGGCTTGGGTTTTCTCGCTCCATGCCCTATTGTTAACGGTGAGAAGGCAGACTCAGAGGGCAGAACAAACACCTGGCTTTGGGAGTGACACCCATCTGGGGAGGGTTACTGCCCTTTGTGATGTCATGAAGAGAAAATCTCTAAACAGCAAGTTTGAGCACACATTTTCTGGAAAGTGAAGCAGGCAAAAGATGGAGAGGATGGATTTTTCTCATAATTTGGGGGTTTGTAGACGGACTAGGGACAAATATTGGTGTTTGAAAACCATGATGAAGCTTTAAGTACCCATAGAAGTAGTAGCCCATACATTTAAGTGTATTTGTTTGTTCTCTTTTGTTTCTGCAGGTATCGAAGGCCTCTGCAGACCTCATGAACTACTGCAGTGAACATGCCAGAAACGACCCTCTACTTATGGGCATCCCCACCTCAGACAATCCCTTCAAGGACAAAAAACCCTGCACTATATTGTAGTGGATGCCACTTAGCCTTATGGGTTTTTTTTTTTGCTTATTAATGTTGCTGTTTTCTTTTTGTTGGGATGAAAGTGAGAGGTGGACTGTGATCATATCATTACCATGTGTTCACCTGTTCAATGCAATTCAAAACTGTTTTCTTCAAAACAGCAATTCATAATGAGATAAGAAAGCCTATTAGCCTGTACTGTTCTTTTTTTTCAGCATCATTTTCAGCTCTGACCACTAACAAGGCTGCAGGATTTGTGTTGGCATCAGGTACTCTGTGTTGCTTCAATAATAATCACCAGCATATATTTAGTTGGGATATGCTACGTGGTGGAATAGTCCTTGGTAATGTAAACAGTCTCCTCTACACCAGGCGGTTACTGTTATTGTCTGTAAACTGGATTCATGCAGCCAAAGTTCCTCCTCTGTACCTTTAAAGTTTTAAGATGGTAAACACAGCGCTTAAAATAAGGCTTCATTCTGCATTCTGACAAGTATTTAACAAACTTTTTTTTCGAAGTTAAGATCATTGGATGATGGAGTCTTATCACAGAGTCTTGTGCAGTGTTGTCACTAAATCTTGTGTTAAATTCAGTCAAAGTATTCTGTTACCCAAGTCCACAGCAATCCACTTGCACATTTGACACATTGTTTTCCTGTGGGGTACTTGCAAGTATGATTACCATAAAATAGTGTTTTCTGTCAGCTGATTTAAATGAAGCAGCATAGAGAGACACAAAAGACCTGAGATCTAAACACCATTAATACAAAATAATCTCCGCTCTGATTCAAGCCTCCTGAAGATATGACCTCAGTGCTGTGATTTTTAAGCAGTGCTTGCAAAATACAAAGATGAACACGCTTATATCACAAAAATACAGAAAAAAATGTTCTTTCTTTTTTGTGTCAGCTAATTGTGTGTGTAGTGCAACACTGTGTAATAATGAAGAACCTAGGACCAATTCAAACCAGTGCTACTGCATTTCAAAACATCATAATATGGGTCTGATTGAGACTTTTTTTAAAAAAACATTCCCTCTGAAAACACTCTGTGGTATGATATTTGTAGGACAAAGATGGCACGGCAACAAGTGTTACAACACTGTGAGTAACGCCTACATGCTAATTACAAGTGTCTTAATTGAATCAATGTGCACAACATGTGTTGTCTTAAAGTGTTATTGCTGCAAATGGCAGCGTGCATTAGTGATTAAAAACACACACAAGACTTTTCATTTTAACTATAACATTTGTGTGGGTGGGGGTCTTTGATCTTCAGTCTAATGAGTCCTTCATGTTGTGATTCTCTGGGTGAACATACCTGCTATTGTGTAATCTAACAACAAAAATCATATTCGATAGCAAACATGACATTTTCCTACACTCTAAAGCCTTACTTCTGTCTGCCTTCTTGTGTCCAGAAGAACACTCTTAATGGGACACTTGTCTTTAAGAAAAACAGTTTCTATTGAATGTTTTTATCTGTGGGGTGAAGGTGATCTGTGATTTAATCGTGCCATCTGTGTTTGTCCTTGCGTCACTAGTAGAACCTGTTGAATTGTGTTTCACTTACAGTACCTGGTGCTCTGCTTTTTGGTATTGTTGCCTTCTCCAAAGGGTACCTTCAGGTCTTCAAATCAGCAAGATCTTGTGCTATTATCCAATCGTATTTTTGATTGTCTTGTTCTTACTTGCAATAAATCGTTCCTGTTTGCCTCTTATTAGAAAGAGTTCAGACTACCACTGCCATGTTCTCTGTCTGTTCTGTAACTCTGTAACTGCCTTATTGCACCGTTGATGGATTAATTTAACTGTCAGAATCTGCATTTTGATAAATGTCTTTATTAATATACCAACCTTTGTATGAAGACTTATACGATTAATTAAGTGAAGCATTCCTACAGTGCAATACTGTACTAATATCTCAATAAAGATGTGTTGTCCTGCACACTTGACACATTCGAGATCAGTACTGTCTTTCCTGATTTTCCTCTGTTATTGTGCAGACAGAAGCTGCCCACAGTGTATCTGTGTCCATTTCCTCTCATTAGCGGTGTATTTATAACTCAGTGGGGATGGGAGAGACCTCGGGCCTCTCATCATGTCTGTCAGAAACCAGAGAGCACAACAGAGCTAAAGATAGACAGAGCCAAACCCTGATTTCCGCTCTTGAAGATAGAAACTATTTTGGGAAAAGGTCTGCTCTGCCTGAGAGTCTGTTGTCTTTCTCCCCCGGTGGCTGCTCGGGTCTCTCCGACCTTGTTTCTCACCAGCTGGTGGTTAAACAGATTTTAAAAGTTTCCCCTGCATACAATGGAAACATCAGGCCAGAATAAAACTCATCGACACTTATTGTAGAGACTATACAAATACCACTTTGGCTATGACAGCTCTCCGCTTCAAACTGGCAGATGATGAGAACATAATCACCTATTATTTATTGTTCTTTTCTACTGTTTCCTTTTTATTGTGCAAAAAAAATTAATGATCGGCAAAACATACAGAACAGAGTGTTGGAGCATGAAGGTCAGACACGGAGTTATCAGACATAATTAAAGAAGAAATCAAACATCAGAAATAAAGGAAACAAATAATAAAATGAAAAATGATCATGAAAAAAATGTACATATAATAAAGGCAATAAAAAAATCCCCTCCTCTTCCACATGAGATCAAATATCCCTGCAGGTAAAGCCAGGTGCATCTGTGTTGAGTGCAATGAAGAATAACTAATAGTTAAACAAGCTCACAGCTGTAACACTGTAAATGCACAGATTTATTCAAGTCTGCCTGGATATTCTCTGTAAGCATGACTGCCCCTGAAGGCCCAAAGCTCGCCCCCCATCAAAGTAATACCTCCCCAGTAATCCCAGTTTGTCATTGTGCAGCAATGTAGAGGGGGGGGCGGGGGTGTACAGCCGGCTCACTGACCATGTGCCCCTCTGTGAAAATCTGTCCTGGCAGTTACAGTGTCAGTGTGCAGGAATGTGCTGATGAGGGGGAGAGGAAGAGGAGGGAGGGAGGATGAGGGTGGTGAGTGTGGAGTGAACTGCAGTGCACCTCTGTTCCTCTGGTAGGCCCAGCTGATTATAAAAATACAGCATTGAAGAATTTTTAGCCATTTTTAAACTCTAAATTTAAATATGCCTCCTACATATTCCCATTGCTGGAATAATAGTATTGACACAGAACCTGTGGTTTTCAGTTAAAAGTGCATTTGGTGATACATTATATTGAAGTGCAATATATTTCCTATTCCCTCTTCTTTATAGTCATACTGCACTTATGTACAACATCTCGTTTCAATGCAAAAGTTAGAAAATAATACTTTGATTTCCATTTTAAAGTTCAAACATATGATCAACTTATGAAACATATTGTGTTGTATTAGAAAAGGTCCTTCACAATGTTGTCTAATGCTTTTTATATTTCAAGTTGGACATACCAGGGTTGGATTTGTGCATAGGACCACGACATGTGTTGTTCATTACATAGGTATGCTGCAGAATGGGAAGAAGTTTGACTCTTGGTCCAATGGTACTGTGGTATCATCATATTCGATGTAAGTCAAAATCAACTGCACCCTTGAATCTTGAATCCTGCACCAATCTATTCAGCTTTGAAAATAAATAAATCTGGAAACTGAATTTTTTATTATGTCTTTAATATTTCTTACTAGGGATTTGGGCTGTTGTGGCTGATTGGTGGAGTCAGTTGTCTCTCTACTGTAAGGTTTGATTTTTCCTAAAATATTTTTTTAAATTTTGAAATACTTAATTAATTAATTAATTAATTAATACTTAATTATTAATCCCTGAGGGAAATTCGGGTTTACACTCTGTTATTTAGAGACATGCTTCTCACTCACATGGGCCTGAATCACACACATGCACAAACAGGACCTGTGGACATGGATTAGTGGAGAGATGTCAGAGGGGGGCTGCTACACAAAGCTACGCAGGGAGTGCACCAGAGCGGTGGGGGTTTCGGTGCCTTGCTCTACTGCACCTCTGCAGTGCTTGGAAGGTGCCCTGTCACCTCTCCAGCCACCAGAACAACTTCTGTATTTTGGTCCGCACCCTCCGGTTCCCAACCCATGTCCTTAGACTCAGCTACTGCCGCCCCTCAAACCTCGTTTTGGGGTTTGATCTCCAGCTCCCTCAGTTATTTGTCTAAGTCAAGACACTGAACTTCAAGTTGTTCCTGCTGCTTTGCCAGCAGCGTGTCAATGTGTATGAATGCAGCAGTACTACTCCGTATATGGGGCACTTTATATAGCAGCCTCTGCTTTTAGTGTGTGAATGTGGTGTGAATGTGGTGAATGTGACATTTAGTGTCAAAGCCCTTTGAGTGGTCTGAAGACTAGAAAAGTCCTATACAAGTCCAAGTCCATTCACCATTTACCAAGTGTTATCAATACACTGCAAAATGATTCACAAAGTGAGCTTGGAATATAGAGAAGATCAACTTTTGGATCAACATTGTCGAGGAAGGGCCAGAATGCATAATGAACATATTTCCTTTAACATGCACATTGTAGTACTTGAACTGTTCTTTTTGAGTCAAGGATATTGTGGCCAAATGGTAAAATCAGTTGTTTTTTTTTGCAGTTACCCAACAAACATAAAATGATATTCCATGCTAAGATAGAATGTTTATTATATGTAATATTGTCAAGCTCTGTTACAATCAGTGATGCTAATTCAAGGTTTGCTGTTTGATGCAGCTTAGAAAGAGAGCGATGTGTTCTTGTTGATTAAGAAACTCCTTTTTGCATTCTCTTTTAGTTCATGGTGGATTTCCCTTCATTCTGCAATACTGTTATCTTAACCTGAAGTTTACCTTTCCCCTGCACTGAGTGTAGTGCATTGAATTCCCTTCTCATAATCTTTTGCACAGTGAGGGAGAATAATACATTTCTATAGGCAGACTGTGGTTATACAATATGTTGCACAGGTTGCCTTATACATAACAATTCAAAGTGCACAATGACTTATCTGACCCCCAAGGTTCTGCTCTTATTTTAGTCACATATAGATAATTCTGCCCCTGAACTTTGACACACAAAACACACAGCCAGCAGGCGCTACAGTGTGTTTAAACTTCATCCCTTTTTAGGACCGGCTTCACCGGAAGGTCCTAATGTCATTCTGACACTTACATCAGCTCTCCACTGCTCCAGTCTGAATATAACCTTTTCCCTCTGATCACAACAATACCACATTACATCAGATAACGTCACGCCTTGCAGTCACACGCCTCACAACCTTTCACACAGTGCCGACTGAAAGCCCAGAGAGCAAGGAGCTCTTTCTAGGGCAGGAGAGCACTTCAGGTTCCTGTTTGTCACTGGTTCTATAATTACGTTATTTTGTATCTACTGTGAAGCTTGAATTCTTTACTCTATATTTACTTTTACTTATACTGCACGTGTATTAGCATTTAAACCTGATACAGAGCATTTAAAAGCTGGTACTTTTAAGCATACTACAGTTGTTATGCAGTTTGGGGGAAACTTTATTTGAAGAAATAGCTTAGCAAGCAATAAATTTGAACTGGAAGAAGTTAAACGATGGTAAAGCGACCCTTTAAATACTTATTTTTCCTGTTGACTAAAGCTGGAAAAAAACAGCTCAAAACACTCAATTAAATATATTGTAAAAGTGCCCACTTGTTCACACTTTGTATATAAAAGCAACATAAAATACACCATCCTTTATGGGAAAGTGCTCTGTTTCAAACAAACTCTTCACCTTCCTTCCAGAAAGTCCTGACAGGGTAATAGCACTTAGGTTATCCAGGTAAGGTGTACAATAGCAGCTTCTTTTTGTTTGATGGGACAAAAATGTATCAAACAACTCAAAAACTGGCAAAAAGTAATAAAACTACACACAAAATATGAACTATAGATGTCCTGCACTGTGGTTAATTAGAAGTATTCCCAACGGCTACTGTCATAGCAGCATGTGTTTAAGCTCACGTTGCAGGCCTTAAAGTTGTCTTATAACTATGTATGTGTGCAGTGGGGGCTTATGGGTAATGTAGTAGCAGTGAGTAGGGAGACAAAAATAATCTTTACCACCTTTATCTGGGATCCTGCTGTGTTAGCAGCATATTTCTGACTACTTGTCTTTCTGTCTGTCCATCTGATCAGATATGAAACAAGAGTAGACATGCTGGAAAAACATTCTAATACACTGTGGCTACGATAGAGTAGTAACCTAGTTGTATTACCCAACTAAAATGAAAGAAATACATTGTGCAACCACTTACGCAGCTAATTCTAGCTGCCAGATTTGATTAAGCATTCCATTCAGCCTTGTAAAACTCTGTCATATGAGCTCTCTCACATGAGGGGTCAGACCGGGTTGTGCAACTTGAGGACAGCCTTGGCCTTCACTCCTCGTGATCATGACTCCGCGATTTCAGCGGGGATTGCCTGCCTTACAAAAACCTGATTACGTCACCGACATTCAACTCCAGAGAGATCACCTGCGTGTGTAAGCGTGGGTGTTGGACACAGTTGGAAAAGGAAAGGAGCCAGGGAGTGGAGGGAGCAGTTCAGACCGGCTTGCACAACAGGTTGCATGCCATTGCCTCCTTTAAAACAGATTCCAAGCAGTTCCAGTCATGTGCTCCACAGTAAGCTACACCACAAATACTCTCTGGTATGGAGGGCAGAGGTAGATACACAGAAAGCATAGAAACACCTCCCTGACTTGTTGTCTCACATACATTTCTTCTATCTAGGAATATTCAAAGTAATGCAGTTTACTGAATGCATGGATTTTCTGTCGATATTATTATTTTTTTGACTCTGTAAGTTCACTTTTGCCACATGACTTTAGGAAGTCACCTGTTGAAAATGCAACATGTCAAACACATCATTGGGAATCTGTGAAAAGGGAACCTGTTTGCATGAATGAACATTGTCCTGCTGACCGAAGCAGAGGATTATTGTTC